AAAAAATTATTAAAATTAAAATATAGAAATTTAAAAATTTTAAGTGAAAAGACAAAAAATATACTTAAAAATTATTAAAATTAAACTATTTAAATATATAATAATATTATTACAAATAAAATTAAAATATATAAAATAAAAATAAAATGACTAAATAATTTAAAAATTTACAAAATAAAATATCATAAATATTATTTAAATAAATTATTAAAAATATAAAATATAAAATAAAATTATAATTACAATTGTACCGGTACCCTCCCAAATAATACGAGTACTATAGAATTTCTCAAAAAATAATGAAGACATAATAGCAGCATGAAAAGATATCTTCATTTCTTTTATTATTATGCTTTTAGAAAATAATGATACTATTCGATATATGTGACAGTACTCCGTTTAATTTCTCTAGAACTATTATAATAAATTAATAATGAAAGAAATGGAGAGAATTTTGAGGTGGACAACTGCAATTATAGTATGTATGATGCATCAAAAGAGATAAACTGTGTTGCCATGACATTCTCAATCATTGAATATTAATTATAGATACGATTTGAATATATAGCTAGGTTAAACTCACCGAAAGAATTCTCTGCAGTCATTATTATATATATCTGGACAAATATGCAGTTGAAATCTCACGGTTATGTGACTTTTCTTTGTTTTTTTTTTTTAATTAGTCTGGTCCTGGAACTGTTAAACAAAGACAACATGTTGATTACGTGGTGTTTGCATGGTTTACTTTGCTGTTTTTTTCCCCTTTCCCACGGTACCAAATAAAATACTAAGTGGATATAATTATTACCTAACAATCAATTTCCTAGAATTGAGTTAAGTTATAAGAGGAGGGTTCAAACGACGGTGTAACTTTTATTAAGTGTTACATTTCTCAATAACTTTATATTAAGTGTGAATTTTATAAATCCAACCGTTAGATTGAAAGTTCATATCAATTTATAAATCTACTTTCATATATTGACATTTAATTTTGTATATCGATTAAAAATATGATCATACTAATAAATATAAATGAGTTAGTTTCTAAATTCAAAAATTTTATGACATTTCTTTATTTTTAGATAAATAATTTTCACAATTACTTTTTTCTTCTTAAAACTTAAAACACAGTAGGAAGAGAGACAAAATTGGCATTGATTTTTGGTTTTATTTTATTAGCATGTTTTTAAAGGGTGTTAATTTGAGCACCAAATTGAATTATTTCTAAATTAGAGAGAGTAACACATCACTTTTAAACAAAAAAAAAACCAAGAAATTTAAATTGGAGAAATTAGAAGAAAAGTTTACCAAATTAATTTAAACACGAAAAACAATATTTAAATAAAAAAAAAATCTTTCTATTAAGTATTTCCTCATGTGATCACATGCCGAGTTATATAAATAAATTACATTAGTCACATGAGAAACATTTAAAACGTGGTTAATAATGAACTAAAAGGGTTATATCTATATTTTGGAAATTAAAAAAATTTGTTCTTAATTCGACTAAAAAAAGTAAGTTTGTCTCAAATAATTAATAATTAATAAATTTTAAAAATATTACACAAAAATCATTTATGAAACTAGTTACTAAAAAAGATTATCCAACAGTTATTATGAAGAAAATGTTTATTGATTTTAACATCAAACTCAATTATTATTGATAGTATTAGTTACTATTCAAGTCAAGTCAGTTAATCCAACAAACAATGGTTTATAATTGATAAAACAATATTCAACAAATTGTTAGTTATGTATATAGAAGCGTAATCATAGTGATTAACGAGCACGAAAATGGTAGCCAATCAAATCGTGGTTTCTTTTTATTTTTGCAACATGCACATTTCGTACAAAAGTTAAACTCGTTCCAGAAGAAATCATTTTGGAATTGACGTAGATTGTGTTCTTTTGTTAGGTCGAAGTTGACAATTTTTTATCAATTTGATGATATATGCAAGAATATCAGAGTGGAATTGGTCACTAGTATTTGCAGTACCCATTGCCTCAGGTTTTACACATACGAGTATGATACGTAGCGGTATCAACGTACGTATTTCGGGATGTACCAAACATGTCAATATTTTTCACCAATACAAGATTAGGTGAGAATAGGTCACTACTAACTATTATTTGCACCAGACTACTAAACAAGTTTTGCTTCATGGTTAGTATGTTTTAGATGAGGAATTTTATGAATTTAAGGAATTTTAAATTTTTAGTATTTAAATTATTTTAATTTTAATTTTTATTATTTTTAAAATATTTTGTTTAAATAAATTATTTAAATTTTTAAAATTTTAAATTATTAAATTAGATATTATAATTTGATTCTATTATGATAAAATTAATTTTAAAAATATATTTATATCACTACAAGAAAAATGTAAATTTATATTTTTAATTTCTTTTTTTAATTTCTTATTTTTAATTTCTTATATATATTTGTAGTATTAAAAATTTTATATATCTTTTAAAGGTATAAATATATATTATAATTATTTATTACAAGTTTTTTATATCTACGATTAGTATTAAAGATGAAAATAAATTAGGTTATACTATATTTTATTATAATTTACTTGGTTTGAACCTAACTTTCTTTAAAAATATATATTTTAAGTGTGACTTATTTATCTATCATAGATAATTTTTAAATATTTGGGTAGAACTACAAT